GTTTTGCTTACTAATTGTTTCCAGTGAACATTACTGAAGATGCGACTTAGATTTCTGAATTTCTAGAAAAAAAGTAAAAATAAGAGGGGCTAGTATAATTGGAAGAATGTAAAGAGAATAAGTAATTGTCTTAAATTCACAAGAATTAACTGGTACGTTTATTTGTAATTTAATAATCCAAGTCTGAAGAGGCGAAAGGATTCATCAGACTTGCTGGTAGACTGACCTCCAGGCGATGGAGCGTTGTTAAAACAAATGGAAGTGTAGCCAGCTGAAAAAAAAAACGCATGTTCGCACCGATAAGCCTGGTGTGTCCTGGCCTGGGTTTACAGACATTCCAAATGTGTTAACCGTAGTTGTTTGCTAGGTGTTTCTGCTGTTAATGATAAAGTCACGGTTATATTTTATTTTTTGCTGCAAAGTTGGTGATGAAAAAGAGGGGTTTTTTGTTGTAAGGTTATGTAAATATAAGTGAAGAAAATTTCAAGTTTAAAAGTATGAAATGTTATCAGTTAATGTGTTTTTTTCTCCGAATAATGGTCAGATGCTCTTGCTTCCCTCAAATTTTCCAAAAGTGTGCATCCATTCCTAAAAACTTTTTCCAAGAAAAATTTTACATCTAGCTGAATAAAATTTGTTCCGCAACGGAGCAGACTTTTTTACCGGAAACTGATTCTAGTTTAGGCGAACAGTAACCCAGTCCGAGCAACCGCAGTCAGTGGATGTTGAGGTTGAAAATTATTTGATGCAAGGCATTCGAGCGATCAGCAAGGATGCCTGGAAGGCAATGTATTGCAAATCGATTACACTGAAATTCCGCAGAAGAAAGATGGAAGCCAAGGTGAGGCAAAAAATCATTGATTGATTTTAATTCACAGTTTTTGCGATGAATATAAATCGTCTCAAAACTGCGATGAATTTTCGTGAATATTTCGGGCAGCACAATTTCTCAAATTTCAGTATATACATGTAGTAATCTATGAGAGCTGAGAAATATCAAGTTAGGTTTAAGGGCCGGGTTGAGGA